GAAGGTGTTTTTAAAATGAGAATTATCACTTCCATCAGAGGACTTAGTAAAGCAGCTGGTTCTCTACAACAGAGTGAGTTTCCTTTACTCAGCTGCATCTCAAGAAAAATTAAGGAAGAGGGAATTCTGCTTCCAGATGGACTTTGTTGAACTTGGTCTGCAACCTCAGCTCTTCCCCTGCTGTCCAACCTGCCCTGCAGATTCTGTACTCAATGGGCCCCACAATCAGGCGAGCCAATGCGTGCAAGAGATCTCTCTCCTACAGGTAGGTGGGTAGCTGATTAGCCACGCTGCTCACAGAGTCAGGGCACAGGGGAACAGCAAGGAACAAGCTAGCATAAACATAGATCCAAGAAGTCGCTATTCTCTGAAGCTAAATGCTCACACTGCCAGTTTTTTCTTAGAACTAAAGCTGGGCTTGCTGCCTAAAAGTGAAGGATATTTCACCTGGGAACTTTAAATGTCTAAAGAATACTCATTAGCTGAATCAACATGATCCAGTTTTGAAGATTTGCACAAACGGTCCCAGAGAATTCAGAATCAGAATTCTGTAGCCTTTTACTGACCAGGCTTGGCTCCTTGTTTCCTCTCTTAGAGGAAAGCTGTTTGGTTCTTGCTTTATTTTCTCTCTGTGTGTTGATTACTAATTAATCCACAGAGAACAGTGTATCTTCTGACATCTCATTACTGCAGGCTTTGAATAGGCACTGAGCACACCAAGGCCTCTGTAAACGTGCACACAGGGGCAGCTCAGAGATCTTGGGCCCCATCAGTCAGGACAAACCACTGCCACCCAGCACACGCATGTAGAAGGTAAATGGGACACAGGGGTATCCTTTTAGCACTTATCTCTGCAGATTTCTTGTACCTGTGTGACACTGGATCAACCACTGGCTGGCTGCTTTTCTCTGTACAGCGTTCCCATTTGAAGATGTGCCCTCCCCCCCCCCCAAAAAAAAGGAAACAGAGGCCATCAGAGACAGTGAACCAAACTATAGATTGCCCCAGTTTCTGGCTTCTAAACTACAGGTAACGTTACATATCCACACATGGAGGCACAGGCTGCTTTTTTTTTAAGGCTGTACAGGCTCAGAGAAAAAGCCGCTCGGCAGGTGTTAAGTATTCCAAGGGCAACTCACTTCAAACTCTGCATGCCTCAATTTTCTTCATCTCTAAAATGGGGCGATGATTTCTGGTGTGTGGGGGGTGCTATTAAGTAAAATGTGTTAGTATACACAGGCTTTGCTGAATACCCCTAATACTGAGTGTCTATCAGCATGGTTCACAGGGATGAGACTACTGTCCTAGGACACGAAGAAGTCACAGGAAGGTGACAGAGCCTGGCATGGGATAAGAACTGGCCAGGCCTCCTGAACTGTATGCAGCCCAACCCAGTTTTCAGTTGCCTGTCCCCAACAATGACATAGGCTAGCATGCATAGAGTATGTGGAAAGGTCCCACTCTTCCCCTCTCTGCAGGTGAGATGGCTCCACCTGTTTTCTCCCAGTTGAACACCAGGACCTCTTTTTCTCCTTTCCGTTCCCAACCCTTCTCCAGACCCAGGGAAAACAAGTGAAAAACGATGACAGCGTCAGGAAATGTCTTCCTTCCCTGTTGGGCTGGTGTGCACAACCCATGAAACGTCAATGAATTCGTCTCTCCCGGATCCAGCTGCTGAAAGCGGGAGTCATTAGGCTTGGTTGGGGCCTAAATTAGGAGCAAAAGCTAGCAAGCGAGTCAGTGATATACCTGGTGGATGCTGTCAAAAATGAGACTTTCTCAGTCAACAGCCCGAGCCAAGATGTGAGAGTTACGGGGTTGGGGGCCGGGGTTAACTTGTTACAAAATGAATTTGAATGAGCGCCTGCCCTCGGCACTGAAAAGGGAGGTAGCTCTGTTGCCTAGCATGCCAGGGTCCTGGCTTCAGCCCGTGCACACTGAAACAGCAAAAGTAGAGGCACCTACCCTTCCAACTTTTATCTCCCCATCCCTCTCACCCCTCCTCACTCACCGCAGGGAGCGTAGCGGTGAGAGGCACCCTGTACCTCCTTGCTGGTGTTCCTCATGGCCTGGCGCTACTAGCTCGGCACTCGTCGAGGAGAGAAAGGAGCTGCTGAGCCCGGGTTCTCCGGGTATCTGGGCGCTGCCGACCCGCCCGCTGGGAGCAGAGGCTACAGGGGCAAAGTCAGCGCGCTCGAGGTTCCGCCCGCCTCCAGCTGACACACCTGCAGACGCCTCACGCCCAAGAGCTGGCACATCCACAGCGAGCACACCGCAGCGCTGCGTCCACGCTGGACACCCAGCAGGGGCACATGAGACACAGTATTCAGCCCAGGAGCATTCAGTAGGTACACCCGAGGGGTAGACAGCGCCCGGCACGTTAAGCGGGGTAAACAGCAAGGGCACGTGCACGCCAGGTAGACAGCAGGAGTGCACTAAGTGTCCTATAGGTCATCACGGGCCGCAGAGTTTGGCAGGCTTCGAGATCACCGCGAGGCTCCGGGCTCTCCGGATCTAGGGTTTACAACCCCTGTAGCTGAAGTTCGTACCGGGAGGGCTGGCTCCCAGACGGACTACAAACTCCTAGAGAGACGCGGAACCACAGCAGCACGCGTCGCTAGGGCAACGGCCGGGCGGCCAACCAGCGTGTGCGGCGCGTGTGCCCAGAGCCAATGGGAGCAGAGCGCAGGAGCCACCTGACAACCGCCCTCAGCCTCCACCTTGCGAGGTGGGGCGGAGTATGAGGGCGGGGCCGGCCCTAAATGCTCCCACAGAGGCTGCAGCGACCCCTCCCCGAGCTCCCAACCGGAACCCTAGTAACTTCAGGTTAGCTAGAAGCATCTACCACATTTTCCAGGCAAGAGTTTAAAAAACAAACAAACAAACAAAAAGCTGGGCATGGTGACAAAGGCTGATAATCAGCACCTGGTGGGATGTCGAGGCAGGAGGATGAAGATTTCAAGGTCATCCTGGGCTTCATACTGAGTTCTAGAAATTGGCACGTGAGTCGCTTGAGTGCATTAAAGAAAAACTTACATACTTGGGAAACTCAGATAATTGAAATTTCTGCAAATTAAGTCAATATTCAAGTTACCACACAAAGTAATTCTTTGTCTTATTTGCAAGGAATATTTGTTTTATAAGCCAAGACATCGTTGTTTAGAAAGCTCTTAATTCTGCTTCTACTGCCAAGAGTTTAGAACTGCAAACTCTGACCCCATGCTTATCCTGAAGGCCTCATACCACTCTGACCAAATAATGGACATAACTACTCACTTTCAATTCCTGCAAAAGTTAAGGATAAATTATTAGAACCATCTAAGAAATTCTATTGACAACTGAGCTGTAAGTAGCTGTGGTTCCCTCTTGTTAAATTTTTCTTTAAATTCAAGACCTTTTTTTGAAATGGCGGGTTTTTGACAATTTGGTCTAACTGATGTGCTGTTTCTGTTACACAAGTAAAGTGTTAGAAATCTAGCAGAAGGCAGATAATGTATGACTGGGTGAGGAGGAAAGGTGTGTGTGTGTGTGTGTGTGTGTGTGTGTGTATGTGTGTGTGTGTGTGCGCTCG